TTTTCAACGCTTGTCCCGGCCCCTGCGTGGTATCCACCCTCCACCCACCCGCGCACGGGGAGCGTGTCCAACCCGCACAGCATCTGTCATTGTGAAATCAGACACATGGACTTCTTTTTTTAAAATATATATTTTATTGATTTTTCACAGAGAGGAAGGGAGAGGGATAGAGAGCTAGAAACATCGATGAGAGAAACACCAACCAGCTGCCTCCTGTACAACTCCCCACTGGGGATGTGCCCGCAACCAAGGTACATGCCCTTGACCGGAATCGAACCTGGGACCCTTGAGTCCGCAGGCCGATGCTCTATCCACTGAGCCAAACCGGTCAGGGCCACATGGACTTCTTATGAATGCGATTCCTCCAGCACGTTACTGGCCCGGGGCGGTTCCCACAGCACTTGGCAGGCGCTGCCCACGGACACAGTCCTCCATTAGCACAGGGATAGTTTGCAAGGTGCGTGTGCGTATGTGTGTGCGTGTGTGTTTAATTCTGTGCAGCTTTTTTTTTTTTTAAATGAAGATTCTTCTCAGCAGCAGGTGTTAATTCAGGCGCTAAATCGGGAACGCTGTCATCACTGTGAAATTCTGCACGTCTCCCCCGCGACAGATGGGGGTTCATGTTGCACACGCCTCCCGTCCTGATGGCTCTGCACGCGTTACGGTCTAACGTCATCTCGCCTTCGGGTCACCTCCACCTCCTGACCCCAGCCTCCTGCTGCAGGTTTCCTGGTCACGCTCTTTTTTTTTTTTTAAATCCTCACCCGAGGATATTTTTTCCATTGATTTTTTTTTAATAGAGAGAGTGGACGGGAGGCAGGAGGGAGAGAGAGACATTAATAGGAGAGAGGCACATCGATTGGTTGCCTCCCACAAGCCCCGAACTGGGGGCCGGGAATCGAACCTGCAAGCGAGCTACGTGCCCTTGACGGGGAATTGAGCCCGAGACCCTTCGGTCCACAGGCAGACGCTCTAACCCCTGGGCCACACCATCCAGGGCTCACTCTCTCCTTTGAAGAGGGGCTGCCTTATCGGATCCCCCAAATCTGCCGCCTCCTCCCCAGGCTCTCGCCTCTTCGTTTCATCATCCGTGTCATGTTTAACCGCACGCGTACCATGTGCACCCCCGTGTCTGCGGTTCCCGGGCTGCTTTCACCGCCGCCAGCTGGAATAAGTGTCTGTCTCTCTTCTCGCCTGGACGCCAGGAATCCAGGAGTCTCCGCTGCGGTGCTGGCAGGACCGGCTCCTTCTGCCTTCCGGAAGCTTCTCGAGGCCCCGCTCTCCTTAGCTGGGAGGTGGCCCCTTCCATGTTGAGGGCACACCACTCGCACCTCCCCACCCCCCACCCCGGCCACACGGCCCTGCCTCCGACCCTGCCTCCCTCTTAGAAGGGCTCTTGCCACCTGGTCACCGGGAGGCTGTCCCGCCGCAGGGTCCCTGACCGCCTGGCACCTGCCAGGCCCCATCGGCTACAGGAGGCAGCGTGGCAGGTGCTGGGGGTGAGGATGTGGGTTTTCTCGCAGGATTGCTACTCAGCGTGCCACACCGTCCTCCTCGAAAAAGAAACGAACCGCGGAGCTCAGCCCTTGGACCACAGAGCTCGGCTCTGCTCGGCTCTGCATCCTTTCTCAGGGGCCACTCAGCCTGAGTGGGCCGGCAAACGGCGGCCTCCGGAGCCACAGGCGGGCTCCTTTGGGCCCCTTGAGTGTGGGCTCTTCCACCAAAAATACCGACTTTCTGCGCATGGGCCACCGAAGTTTCAAATCCGCACTGGAACGGTGCCCCGCCCCCCCCCATGGAATTTTGGTGGAAGAAGCCCACACTTCAAGGGGGCCAAAGAGCCGGCATGGGGGTTCGCCGAAGCCGGGTTTTTGCCCACCCAGCCACCGAGGCCCCCCGCCCTGGGGGGGATTTTCCAGACCCATTTTTATTTCTTTTTACGTATAAACACACAGCGTATTCCGCATTGGTGTGGGGGGGGATTTAAACATAATTTTAAAAATACATTTTTATTAATTTCAGAGAGGAAGGGGGAGAAAGAAGGAGAAACATCAATGATGAACCCAGCTGGAGTGGCTAGTGGTTGAGCGTTGACCTATGAACCAGGAGGTCACAGTTCGATTCCCGCTCAGGGCACATGCCCAGGTTGTGGGCTCGATCCCCAGTAGTGGGTGTGCAGGAGGCAGCCAATCAATGATTCTCTCTCATCACTGATATTTCTGTCTCTCTCTCCCTCTCCCTTCCTCTCTGGAATCAATAAAAATATATTAAAAGAAAAAATAATAGTAAAAAAATAGCCCTAGCCAGTTTGGCTCAGTGGATAGAGCATCGGCCTGTGGACTGAAGGGTCCTGGGTTCGATTCTGATCAAGAGCATGTACCTTGGTTGCAGGCTCCTCCCCAGCCCAGGCCCTGGTCGCGGCTCATGCAGGAGGCAACCAATCGATGTGTTTCTCTCACATCGATATTTCTTTCCCGCTCTCTTCCACTCTCTCTAAAAATCAATGGAAAAATAGCCTCAGGTGAGGATTTAAACAAATAGTAAAACATGAAATAGTCGCTGTGGCTATGATATGGAGGCAAGGTGGGGGAGGGGGTACGGCTATGACGCAAACAGTGGTAGCAGGTGCAGGCGACAGGAAGTGGCCCAATAAGGGCATAGTTCAAAGGTAGAGGCAACAGGACTCTCAGAAGGATTCGACGTGGAGTGTACACCCTCTGCACGTAGCCAAGCCCATCTCCGCTCACCTTCCCATTCCCTCGTTTAACTTCCATCGCAAAGTACAGTGGACGTGTTAGGAGATAAAAGAGGAGGACCTTCTGGTTTGTTCCTCTCTCTCTCCCTCTCCCTTCCATTCTGAAATCAATAAAAAGATATTTTTTAAAAAAAGAAAGAAACATCAATGATGAGAGGGAATCATTGATCGGCTGCCTCCTGCACGCCCCACACTGGGGATCGAGCCCACAAACAGGGCATGTGCCCGACCGGGAATGGAACTGCGACCGCCTGGTTCATAGGTCAACGCTCAACCACTGAGCCACGGTGGCCGGGCTTGGTGGATTTGTTGTTGTTGTTGTTAAAAAACATGCAAACATCCTAAAAGCCCAAATAACATGATATTATGCAATATTCTCCCTTCTCTGCCTTGAGATCCATCTGTGTTGATACCCAGAGAACTACTTCAGCTACCTCACACTTTTAAAAATATTTCTGTATCGTAGAAAAATATACATAAAATGTCCCGCTTTAACCGGCTTGAAATCGGCGGCTCAGTGGCATTAAGCACATTCACGTGGCTGCGCTACCGTGGCCGCCATCTGTCTCCGGGACATTTGCATCACCTGAACCGACACTCACCAACTCCCGGGCTCCTGGCCCCCAGCCCCGCAGCCTCCACCGCCTTTCTGTCTGTGACGTCGCCTGTTTGATATTTCACACGAGGATCACACGATACATGCTGTGCTTTCGTGGCCGGCTTCTTTCGCTTTGCGCAATCTGTTCAAGGTTCATGCGTGCTGGGGCGTGCGATCCGTCCGGCGGGCCTCGGCCTGGGTCCCAGGACCCCGCAACGAAGCCAGGGGTCATCTCCGGGCCGGGGAGGGTCTGGCCTTCACTTTGTGAAATCTGCAACCTCTGGGGCGCCCAGGAAAGCGAAGGGCTAAGAAGCATGCGCCCGACTTCACGTGGGGACCCCCAGCTTCCTTCGCTCTCCGTCGACCTGTGCGTTCCGCGTTCTCCTTTGTGAGCTGCCTGAAACCTTCCCCCCAGTGTGCCCTGTCCTTGCCAGTGACCTGTCCTCTCCTGGGGTCGGGAACCCCAGACCACTGTCCCCTGCAGAGGCTGGTGGCCCAGTTCAGACACAGCAGGCGCCTGCTTGGAGGTGGCAGGCGAGGACACAGCTGGTCTGGGAACCGGAGAACCTGGCTTCTGGTAACTGACAAGAAAAGCAAATTGCTTTGCTCTGGGGCCTCCGTTTTCCCATCTGGAGAATGGGGCTAATTCCCGCCTCAGTTCCTTTGCTGCAGAAATAAGGCATTAATTCTATTTCTAGAAAAGCATAGCTCCTTGACAGGTGAGCTGGGGGGTGGGGGGCGGAGGATGGTCTGGGTGGTGGGCGGGTCCCTGAGGCACCACAGAGGGAAGGCAACGCAAACCCTTCCTCACCGTCTTGTCTTCCCGCCTCGCCTCTGGCTGGAAGGGTACTGGGTGGTTTTTCTGGTGTGAAATGCTTCCCTTTGTTCCAAGAAAGAAAGGCGGCCAAGGAGGTTTAGCTGCTCCTGTTCCCCGAGGGGCAGGTTCTGGGTTGCAGGCTGGGCTGGTCACAGCCCGGTAGCTGGGCTGCATTCCTGTCTATTTTAAGCGCGAGCGGCAACTAGGAGGCAGGCAACAGGGGCCGAGCAGTGGGTGAAGGACATCTGGCACAGGAGGCACGGGGCTGGCGGGGCTCAGTTCCGCGGACTGGCTCCCACGGGCGCCGAGCGCGGGAGAGGCGGTGGGGGGCTTCCCACCCACTGAGGCCCAGGGCTAAGGGCGAGGCGGGGCAGGGCACACGAATCGCGGAATCTCCCATCCACTTAGTCACTCGGCAAATATTTGGCCTCTTCAGACCTGTAGGTTGACATCTTTTCATCAGCCTGGATCATTCCCAGGCAACTATCTCTTCGCACGATTCCCCCGCCCTATTCTCTCGGCCGTTTCTGTCCGAAATTCCAAACAAAGGTGAGGGAACGTCTGCTGGAGCCTTCGCGTTCTCCGTTTGGCTCCGGCTGTTCCCACCTCGCGCAGAACCTCCTCGAAGAGCTCTCGGCCGCTTCGTTCTCTCCAATCCGCGGTGTGGCTTTCCGGGGCCTCTCTCCCTTGTAAGCATTTTCAAGCTTGATGACGACTTTTTAATTTTTTCCTAAATCCTCGCCCGAGGCTATTCTTGCCCTTTTTTTTAAAAAAAAAATTATGTACTTTTTTGTCTTAAACAACAAGACAATTGCTTCTCACAGTCCTGGGGGCTGGAAGCCCAGGATCGAGGTGCCGGCAGCTGCAGTGACTGTGCGAGCCCCTTCCAGCTACAGCCAGCGCCCTCTCACCGCGTCCTCACCAGCCCGGCCTTGGTGACAGGCTTTCCACGGGTTTTTTTCAGAGGGAGTGGAAGGGAGGGAGGGACCTGGGGCCGAGGATCGAACCTGCTACCCAGGTGCGTGCCCTCGACCAGCCGTCGAACCTGAGACCCTTCGGTGCGTGGGCCACTGAGCCACACCGGCCAGGGCCAGGCGGTCAGCTTCATCCCGGGGGCAGGAGGAGCTGCCCGGGTTTTGACCGGGAGGGGCTGGTCCACGGTGTTGGGTGCTGGGCCGTTCCCGCTCCCTCGGCGCGGACGGTGTGGAAGCGGGGGCAGGAGGGACCTCACGTGCAGGCACCTGGCAGACACGCCCCAGCGTGAGTGACAAATCGCGTTGGCAGCGTGTCCCTCGGCCGTGACGTGGTGAGAGTGGCATTCTGCCCAGCGCCTTCTTCCCCATGACCCACAGCCCCAGTCACGAGAAAAACATCAAATTCCAACCGAGGACAGGCCTCCTCTGGGCTAGTCACCACGACAAGGGGCGTCCGAGAACTGTCGCCGCCATGAGGGGACACGATGGCCACAGGTAGCGAGGTGTCCCAGACGGGCTCCCGGGACAGAAGAAAGACAGGGGGCCCCCAGAAATCCTGAATAATGTGTGGACTTCTGTTGATAACAATGTGTTGATACTGGGGCAAATGGATCATACAAATGAAAGATGTGAATACGGGGGGACTGGGGACAGGGTAGAGGAACTGCGTGCCACCTCCGCAGGTTTTCTGTAGACCTACAAGTGTCCTAAGCCCAGTTAAAAGAGAAAGGGTGAACCTCTGAACCAGGAGGTCAGGGTTCATGCCCGGGTTGTGGGCTCCGTCCCCAGTAGGGGGTGTGCGGGAGGCAGCCGATCAATTATGTTTCTCTCTCATCATTGATTTTCTATCTCTCTCTCTGAAATCAATAAAAATATTTTATATATATATATTTTTTAAAAAAATATATTTTATTGATTTTCCACAGAGAGGAAGGGAGAGGGATAGAGAGTTAGAAACATCGATGAGAGAGAAACATCCATCAGCTGCCTCCTGCACACTCCCTACTGGGTATATGCCCGCAACCAAGGTACATGCCCTTGACCGGAATCGAACCTGGGACCCTTGAGTCTGCAGGCTGACGCTCTATCCACTGAGCCAAACCGGTCAGGGCTTTAATATATATATTTTTAAAATAAAAGAACGCTCTCGCTGGCTGCTGTGGGGATGGACGATAGGGTGGGGCTAGCTGGGAGCTGGGAGATACGGGCGCAGCCTGCCGGGGAGACACGGTCTCAGTGGGGCGTTGGAGATGGAGAAAGAGGGTCCGACCCAGCAGGTCGAGCTGACCGCCCCGGGGTCTCACCAGGGGGGGCTGTGCAGGGGATGAGGAGAGGGAAGAGTCGGGCGTGAGCTCAGCTGTGCGGCCCTGAGCAGCGGCCGACGGGGTTGCGGTCTGAGCTGGACTTGGCCGCGAGAAGAACAGGTTTGGGAGGAGGATCTCGGAGGCTGCGTTTCTGCCTCGATGAGCCAGAGGTGACCTTCGGACACCAGAAGGGGCATTCCAGGGGGGCGGGGAGCTGTACGAATTCATCTGGCAGTTTGGGTTAGAGCACCTGCTATGAGCAAGGAGCACACCTACTATGTGGGAGCCTACGGGTGAAAAGGCACAGGTCCTGTCTTTCAGAAGCTTCTAGTATGTTCAAAGAGCAAGCCACCTGCCAGAGAAGCGGTGATAGGTGAAATAAACGAGGACGCGCCGCGGGGGGTCGCCGTGGTGGGAAGCGGAGTGTACATGTGTATTTACTTTCCTCACTGTTGCAGCAGCCAGATGCCTTATCTGTGTTCCTTGTAACCAGTTCGTTACCAAAGAAACGTTTGCACTATGTAACGATGCCTTTCAGTTCGAATAAACGGCCGTTTTAAAAAAAAGAAAGAAATAAACGAGGATGGAAGAGACCAGCTGGGCAGTGAGAAATCAGGGGAGACTGCCTGGAGGCGGCGGCACAAACGATGCCCCCAAATCAGCCACCTTCCTGTTCTGGAAAAGCCCATCCTTCACCCACGCTACCACTTATCAACCCTAGCTTCCAGCCAGGCTCCCATTTGGAAAATTAGGCCGATGTCCAGAAAAGCTAGATAATCGAGGGTCAGAGGTCGGAAACGCCTGGCAGCGGACCAGGCCTTGGTTATGTAACTGCCATGAGTCAGTTCTGGGGCCCTGGAGTCCCTGGTTGCCCCTGTGCGGGCAGCTTGGGCTCCGGGGCCAGGAGAGGTGAAGGGCCTCCATTGCTTATCTGTCTGGGGCTTGTGTTGCTGCTCCAAGGCGCCTACCGCCCGGCCGCTTTTGGCTGCATGCAGAGCAGAAAATTCCTTGAAGTGTTTCTCAACTCCCAGGGCCCTTCAGCTATAAATAACAGCCGGATGTCCTGAGTAAGGGCTGCGGAAGGCCCGATGATGAAATAACGCCACCCCCTCTCCCAGGCTCTTACCCACACACAGGCCCCCAGAGTGCGGTGCCTGCCTCGCTGGGCCCTGACCAGTCCAGGGAGTTCTCCACGCACAGCCAGGGGACCGGTCACGTCTCACCCGGATCAGAATCTTCCAATGAACCCTGGCCGGTTTAGCTCAGTGGACAGAGCATCGGCCTTCAGACTGAAGGGTCCTGAGTTCGATTCCAGTCAAGGGCACATACCCGGGTTGCCAGCTTAATCCCCAGCGGGGCGTGCAGGAGGCAGCCAACCAATGATTCTCTCTCATCATTGATGTTTCTCTCTCTCTCCCTCTCCCTTCCTCTCTGAAATCAATAAAAAGATGTTAAAACAACAACAACCCTCCAGCGCTCCCCAGTCCTCGCGGAAGGAGTGACACCGTCCTAGATGCCACAGATCGGTCCCTGTCAGCCTTCTGCCCGGGTGTGGTCTTCACACTCGCCACTCCTCTGCCTGGATCAATCCCCCCACCCTGCACCTCTTACCTTTTTTAAAAAAAAAAATGAGCCCTAACCGGTGTGGCTCAGTGGATAGAGCGTCAGCCTGCGGACTGAAGGGTCGCAGGTTCGATTCCGGTCAAGGGCATGTACCTTGGATGCAGGCACATCCCCAGTAGGGGGTGTGCAGGAGGCAGCTGATTGATGTTTATCTCTCATCAATGTTTCTAACTCTCTATCCCTCTCCCTTCCTCTGTAAAAAATCAATAAAATATATTAAAAAATAAAATAAAATAAAATAATGAGGTGAGCCGGGCCATTGTGAGCAGCAACCATGTACCAAAAGGTCGCTGGTTTGATTCCGGGTTTGGGCTCCATCCCCAGTAGGGGGCGTGCAGGAGGCAGCGATCGATGTTTCTATCCCCCTTCTCCCTCTCCCTCTCTCTCTAAAAAGCAATAAAAACATTTTTAAAAACGAGGTGAAACTCACATAACATGCAGCTAAGCGCTTCCCAGTGGACACATTGTTGGTCTTAGCGCATCCACGATGTTACACACCCACCGGCCTCTCGAGGTTCAAAACGTTCTCGTCCCCCGTGAAACGCCTTGCACCATTAGAGCAGGCCCTTCCCAGCACCCTCCCCACGCCGTGCAAGCCCTGAGCTGCTGTCTGTCTGTCTGTCTGTCTGTAGGTGGGTGGGGGGGGCCTAGTCTGGACACATCCCGTGAAAGCAACCCTACAACCCGGAGCCTTTGGTGCCTGGCGTCTTTCAGGGCCGCGTGTTTCCGAGGTTCACCCAGGTTGTAGCACTTGCCGAGCTTTTTCCTTCTTACGGGGGAAGCACAGGCGTCGCGGCCGCAGTCTGTGTGTCCACTAGTTGAGGGCACCTGGGGGGGTTCCACCCTTAGGCCGTGTGAACGGAGTTGTATGAACATCAGGGTACAGGTTTCCGCGTGGTCCTGCTTTCATTCTTGGGGGTCTACCCCTAGCCGTGGGCGTGCTGGGTCCTACGGCGACTCCAAGTTCGACTTTCGGAGGAAGCACCACCCTTGTCTGGCTCATCCTTCTCCCCCCCTCTCCCCCCCTCCCCCCCGCCTCACCCCACTCCCACCCGCCTCTCAGGGCCGGCCCCTCCTCCCCACTCAGCCCTCGGCTGGGAGGTCACCCCTCAGACCACTGGGCTCAAACACCACCTCTCCCAAGTCACTCTCTTGTCTTCTTCACCATTTGGGGTTCATGATCCGTTAGAACATCAGTGACCCGGACCCCTTAGTTCCCGTGGCGACCACAGCCCAGCACAGTGCCTGGCACTCGATGTGATCGCTGCTGAGCGGCTGATCTCAGGTGAGGAGCTGCAAGGATGTGGCATCTTAGGTGCCGCGGGCCCGCCCTGGGGTGACTCAGAGCAGGAGGGGGAGGAAGCCGTGCTGAGGCTGTTTCTCCAGCTGCCTCAGTGACTCAGCTTCTCGATCTGCCCCAGTGACTCAGCAATCCCCAACGCCTTGGGCTGGAACAAGGAACCCTGAGCAACTCACTACCAAGGAGAGAAAAAAACACCCACGGAGGAGGAAAAGCATGCGGGTGGGGAGCGGATGCGCACGGCAGCCGGCTAGTCAGCCCGAGGCACTGGTGAGGGCTCGAGTGTGGGGCTCGGGTGGTCAGGCTGCCGGGGTTCCAGTCCCAGCGTTGCACTGAGCTGTATGGCTCTTCACCAGCTACTCAAGCTCGTCTTTTAGAAAAATAGGGTTAATCGTAGTAGCTGCCTCTTTCGTTTGTGAGGATTAAAAGAGTTAATATATATGCTGAGTGCTCACTGGCGCTTGGGGCATTGAAAATGCTTTTTTTTTTACCAGAATAATCATCAGCAGCAGCAGCATCTGCCCATCTCAGTGCTCATCTCTGCGGGCTGGGCATTCAGACAAAAGGAGAGAATAAATGTGTTTTTAAATTTTTAAAAAATTGATTTGAGAGAGAGAGAGAGGAAGGAAGAGAGAGAAAGGACGGGGAGAGGGGGGGAGAGAGACATGGATTTGTTGTCCCACTTATTGATGAATTCATTGGTTGATTCTTGCACGTGCTCTGCTGGGGGGTTGAGCTCGCAGCCTTAGTGTATTGGGAGGATGCTCTAACCAACCGAGACACCTGGCAGGGCCCATAGTTTAAGAAACAAAACCCAAAAACAAATAGCCCTGGCCAGTGTGGCTCAGATGGCTGAGCGTCGCCCCAAACACAGAAAAGTCGCAGGTTCGATTCCTGGTCAGTGCACACGCCTGGGTTTGGGGTTCCATCCCCAGTAGGGGGCATGCAGGAGGCAGCCGATCATTCACTCTCATCAATGTTTCTCCCTCTCTCTTTCTCCTAAAACAATAAGAACTTTGTTGTTGTTGTTGTTTTTTAAAGAATCAAGTCCTGGCAGCTCCAATCCGAGTGAACCTTGAAAGCATGACGCTTAGGGCAAGAAGCCAGGCACAGAGCACATTGTAGGATTCTACGGACACGAAGCGTCCGGAACACGCAAATCCGTGGGGACAGAAAGCAGAGGAGTGGTGGCCGGGGCTGGGGGAGGAGGCCTGGGAACGACTGTGAGGGGTGGTGACTTCCTTCCGGGGTGATGAGAATGTTCCGGAACTAGATGCGATGCTGGTTTCAGACATCGGGAATGTGCTGAAAGCCGCCGCAGCCTATGCCTTAGGAAGCTTTAAAAGGCGCGTTTTTCTCTCTAAAACCAGCCACTCCTCCTGCTCAGGACGGAGAATGAGGACTTCTACCTCCCCACCCCCACACCACCGCCTCGTACCCAAGAGAAAAATCATCGCGAGGAAGATTCGGAGCTAAATTGTGGGTCGAAACCAGAGGTCGCCATCCAGGGGCCCAAGGACTTGCTTGGTTTGGCCAACTTGTATTTTTGAAAGTTGGAACTAGATGCCTCCAGTTAACACTGGGAGATTTCCACATGTGGTTGGCCAACTTCCTCTGAAAAACTGGGGAACCAGGCCCCGTGTAGACACATTTCCTTGTGGTGAAAGTGGGCACCGCTGAGCAGCCGGCGGCCCCTTCAAAGGGGGAACGAGGTCTCCATTTCACCACAGTCCCCACCGCTCCCTAATGTCTTACAGCTGGTTCCACGTACGCACTTGTGCCCCCCTCTGGCCCGTGTACTCCTCTGGGCACACCTGCCCCTGGTGTAAAGGGGTGCGGGTGGGGGCTCTGCCTCACAGCTGAGCACCCTGTGCAGCCCACCTACCTGTTCAGCTGTACCAGGCAGCCTGGTGAAGAGGAGGCGGATGGATGGAATCCGAGCCCATTAGCTCCGGATGCTCCCGGGGGCAGGGAAGGTCTCAGCCAGACTCGGAGAGAGAAGCAGACCTGGGGGCTTTGCGGGGGGAGGTGGGGTCCGAGCCCTGGCACGGCTTCCGTGCGATGGATACGGGAACCGCGGCGGAGGGACCAGCATTCCTGCCGCCCAGGTGCGGTGCTCGGCCCCAGGCGCCCACCTGCAGCGTCCTCCCCGGCTCTGCAGCTGGGGAGCGGCACTCAAGGCCCTGGGTTTCTGTCCCTGGGGCTGTCAGCTCTGACTGTGACCCCAAATCAGATGCACAGCCTCCTCCCAACACACATGCTCTGGGTCAGAGTCTGCCTCGACCAACCGCAACCACGACCAACCACCGTTTATGAAAACCCAGCTGCTGCCGCTTAAGGCACTAATTCAGCTTCAGGGACCGGCTGGGAAGAGGGAGGGGGAGGGGGAGGGGAGGGCACGACCTGAGGAAGGCCCAGGGGGAGGGCCTGGGAGTGGGGGCCAGAGTGCTGGTTCTAGAACTCTCTAAGCCCCCTCCCCAGATGCCAAAGACACAGCTGTGGGGACAGGCTTCCCCAGGCCCCTGCCCCCAGCTGAGACCACTACCCAGGACCGGCTACACCATCTGCAGGGCCCGGGGCAAAATGAAACCACAGGCCTTGCGCAAACATTCGGAAGAACTTGAAGGCGGCAGCTGCACGGCATTTAGCAAAGCGTGGGGCCCTTCTGAGCGTGGGGCCCTTCTGAGCGTGGGGCCCTGCACCCCGTGAAGCTGGTTCTGTCCCTCCCTGCCCCTGGGTCCTCATGCCAGGGCTCGGGGTCCCCACAGCCCCCCATCCCCCCGCCCTGTGCTCCCACTACAGTGACTGCCTGGCATGGTGCCTAGGACTAAGGAAGACAGCCATATCGGCTTCATTAATCCTAACAGAGAAAGTCAAGCCCAGCCAGTGTGGCTCAATGGTTAAGCATCGACCTATGAACCAGGATGTGACGGTTTGATTCCCAGTCAGGGCACGTGCCCGGTTGCAGGCTCGATCCCCAGTGTGGGGCAGCTGATCAATGATTCTCATCATTGATGTTTCTATCTCTCTCCCTCTCCCTTCCTCTCTGAAGTCAATAAAAGTATTTTTTTTTAATTAACAAAAAAAGGAAGAAAGGCTGGAGAAATACAACAGGAGCTTGGGGTTTCGTTGCCAGTGGTCGCCAGGGCTGGCTTCCTGGCTGTGACGAATGTACCTGGGCCACGTGAGACGCTAACGTCAGGGGCGGCTGGGGGAAGGCACAGGGCAGGAAGCCGCTGGCATTAGCTGGGCCTGTCCCGTGAATCTGGAATTTCTCCAGAATAACACATGTGCGGGGTGGGCGGAGCCTGGAAAAGTTGTTCCTTATGGAAAAACACGCAGGTTACGGTGAGACAGTAGCTTTGTTCATTCAAAAGAATGCCACACCCAACTGTGAGCCCGCTTGGCCACCCCAGTATGAAAAAGCCCCATCTGCCTTCTACTGGGGGAGGGGCTGGTGTGGTCTCTGGAACCCCTCGGGGTTTGGGCTTGCACATTGGGGGCCTGGAGCTGACGCTGGCATGGGACGGGGAGGAGAACCTGGAATTCCCAGCCTGGGGGGAGGGGTGCGGGCTGGGCGAAGGCAGGACCGGACCAACGTGCGGGCTGCAGCTGGTGACGCGGCCGCACGTGGTTTATCGACCCCTGGTTTTGTAAAAATAACTTGAGCCCAACTATAAAAAGCAGTTGATCT